AACACCCAGGACTGATCTCCTTCAGGATGGACTGGTTGGATCTCCTTACAGTCCAAGAGTCTTCTCCCAACACCACAGCTCAAAAGCATCAATTTTTCGGTGCTCAGTTTTCTTTACAGTCCAACTCTCACATCCATACATGACCACTGGAAAAACCATAGCCTTGACTAGATGGACCTTTGTTGGCAAAGTAATGTATGCTATCTAGGTATTCCTCTAAAATTTATTAGGGACATATATATTAAGATATATAAAATATATCTAGGCAAGCACCTTTTAAATGATCTGTTTTATGTTCTTTTAGGTATAACTATTATACTTTCAGTTGGCATTCATCACACACTTTTTTCAAATTAAAAAAATAGTCATTAAACTATTTTAACACAGTTGAAAATTTTCACTTAAGTTCAAATATTGATCACTAACTTCTAGGCACTAATCTAAGCATGTATATAACATATGTAGTCATAATAGTATATAGTTAGATGTGCCCTCTTTACATTGGAGGAAACTGAGACTTATGTGTAGAGCTGGGGTATGAACCCAGGGAGTCTAGCTCCAGAATCTGTGCTCTTTCATAGGAGCTTTTCTGTGGCTTTTTCTCTGTGATCTCTCATGGCTCTGATCATAAAAACATGGTGATTTGCTGAAAAATATTGTTACAGATTTTAGACGTCATTTCTAATGAAGTAAGAGGTTCAACTGGTTCTTGTCTAATTGTAAGAATCACTTGAGACCCTTATTAAATTGATTTCTAGACTCTGTTCCTAATAAGTAAATTCAAAGCTCTGTGTGAAGAACCCTGGGAATCTCTTTCACAGTGATCTAGATGATTCATGATCATGATCTGATCCTATGATTCAGACAAGTTAGGGACACCCTAGTCTAGATTTGATCTCTTAGAATTAATAATATTTTTGTTGCCCCTTTTTTTCACACATATTATAGGTTATCCTGTCTACCCTGTTATCTATATAATATATACTTTATCACTAGCACTGAGTTTGAGTATAAATTAAAGCAAACTGTTACCTTTTTCCTTTGATTCTCATGTTTCAGTAGATATATGAAGTGTTCTACAAATCTACAGTCATAGCTTATTGGCCTAATAACTGAGTAAGTGGTATTGCCACATAGCATAGATTCTAGTGCTGTTGTCCTTGGGTTATGTTTAACCATACAGTGTTTTGTGATAACATTGAGCAAACAAAATCTAAAAAATCCAAAAGCTCTCCATTCTCATGGTAACACATATTTGCTTTCATGCTTGTTTTTTCTGAGAGTTTAAAATTCTTAAGATACCCATTTCTTCATTGACTGAGACCTTGATTTTCAGCCATGTGGTTGGTTTGAATGAAGCTGTTAGATGACTTACTGACATTCAGACACTCACTACTGTCTAGGTGTATCTATCTCTGGAGTGACACGTGGCAAGTTTTAAGGGCTTACCTGTTGACTCACTTTGCCTACATGGCTATTTCAGTAAGACAGATTGGGCAAGGCAAGGTACTTCTTAGTATACTTTTAAAAGTTATATATCATCTGCTGCTTAGTGGCAGAGATTGTTACCATAAATACTTTAGAAGTGCCATATCAAGTTAAACCATGCTGCTTCTTACCTCCACAGCAATATTTGGGACCTTGCTTTGAAAACCCTAGGTTACCCCCAAAGTGTCAAGAGTAGTAATCCCAGTGTTTTCTTAACTTTAGCATAATCTAATATCACTCTGGCTTCACTCCTTTATTCTCCTAGTCCAGAAACCTCATCCCTAGATTAAAGTCCTAAAAACCATTGTTTAGTCCCCAAATAATCCCCACACTACCTTTGCTCATGGAATTCCTTTTGCCTGGAAGGTGCCCTCCTCCCACTTCTCCTTCCTGTCTCATCTAAATCGGCAACTTCTTACTGCTTTTTTTTAATTGGCAACTTCTTTATGAAAACTTTTGTGAGTTCTACCTCCCTCTCCTTTTAGCATCCATGACATACTAAGTTTGTCTGTCTTTTGCCTAATGTATTGATTTATGAATATACTGTGTATAATCATTTGTCCTCATTGTCTTCAGTTTTTTTATTATAATATTTCAAGTATATTTTCATTTCTATTGCCTACGGTAAGCCATTTTCTAAAATTCCATCCCACTTAAGGTTTCATTTTTGCCAAATGGGTTTTTGGTTGGATTATGTTCTTCTCTATAACCTCAAATACATCCAGCCCTCAGTCAGCCTCTTGTGATTTTCTTCCAAGCCAAATCTGCCTTTTAATACCCCTTTCTTTTTGTGTAGTCTTTTATCCAAACAACTGAAAACATTAGTCCTAAAACCAGATTGATCCTGACTGATCTTGCAAGGTTAAAGGGAAGTTTGATTCCCAACTTCCCTAGCTCCTGAAACACTGAAATTTCTGACCCCGTCCGTAAGATGCATTTGAAACAGCATCTTCTATCTTCTTAAACTTTTTGCTAGTAATTTATTATTTTGCTTTTTGACAGATTGAATATTTTTTTATTGAAATATAGTTGATTTGCAGTGTTGTGTTAATTTCTGCCATATAGCAAAGTGATTTAGTTATATATATGTAGTTAGCAGCCATACCTTTCAGCATGTGAGATCTTAGTTCCCCATCCAGGGATCAGACCCGTGCCCCCTGCATTGGAAGCGTGGAGTCTTAACCACTGAACCTCCAGGGAAGTCCCAGTTATACACATGTATATTTCTTTCTTACAGTCTTTTTCCATTATGATTTATCTCAAGATATTGAATAGAGTTACCTGTGCTATACGTAGGACCTTGTCATTTATCCATTCTATATGTAATAGTTTACATTTACTAACTCCAAATTCCTAGTCCATCCCTCCCCAATTCCCCTCCCCCTCCCCCTTTAGCAGTCACAAATCTGTTCACCATGTCTGTGAATCTGTTGCTGTTTCATAGATAGGTTCAACAAATTGAATTCTTAATTGCTATGCAATAAACTTATTAAAATTCCGCAAAACTAAAATGAGGAAACTGCAACCCTTATTTTATTTGACTTTTACTTTTTAGCTCCTCATTACACTCAAACATTGTCTTCATATAAAATCAGTCTGGGATTATTCAAAGCAGAACAGATTACTGTTAAGTCAAATTTTGACTTATTATATGTGTATCTTTCTTAGGATCTTTTCCTTAAATCTCTTTATTTTCTATTTATTTTCCCCTGCCCTTCAGTTAAATCAGATTCCTTCTTGAGGACCTGCTCATTGCTGTGGACTCCAGAAGAGCCTCTGTCTCCCTCAATTCTTCTTCTATTCCAACCACTACCTTTTGAAAATGGGAAGGAACAAAAAATTTTACTGTTAAGGAAAAAACATAAGGGCAAAGGGGAAACCGCAATTTGGTTATTCATTGTCAAATCAGATTAATAGAGCTGTTGGTTTTCTTAGATTCCTGTATCTCACAAAATAAAAATTCTGGAGCTGTGATTTCAGAAGCAAAATACTGTTGGCTTAGGATTTATTCTTAGCAGCCTTAGCTCTAACCCTTTATTGTTTGCAGAAGAGTAGTATATTACCTTTTTTCTAAATGAAACTATTGTAAATTATAAACTGCATAAATTATAAACTGCAATCTACCTGCCAAAGTAGTAGCATTGGAACTGAAAGTTCATTTGCTGAGTAAAGAGTGGAGTAAGACTCCACAGAACCGATGCTCTGTGTTTGTGGAGGGAGAACTGTGCTGATTGAGAACCTCATCTTCAAAAGAGAAGGCGGCGGGTGGGTAAGAAGATGTGAAAGGAGACCAGAAAGATGATAGTACAGTGTAAGATAGTGAGGGGAAACGAGATTTTTGCTTTTACAAACCCCTAGCCCAATAGGGCTTCCCAGGTGGCTCAGTGATAAAGAATCCACCCGTCAAATGTAGGAAATGCAAGGTTGATCCATGGGCCCCGAAGATCCCCTGAAGAAAGAAATAGCAACCCACTCCAGTATTCTTGCCTAGGAAATCCCATGGACAGAGGAGCCTGGCGGCCTACAGTCTTAGGGTCTCAAAGAGTCAGACACAACTGAACAAATAAACAACAACAGTCCAACTACTCAAAAGTAGTTTTATAGTATCAGCTTCTCTGGGTCCTAGTGCCCTAGTTTCCTTATTTGTAGAGGGGAAGTAACAGTGCCTCCTGCACCAGCCTTAAATGGTATAATATGTGCCAAGTATCTAATACCATGCTTCCTGTCTGGTTCTTATTTTTAATTATTCATTTTTATTATGTTTGTTTATTTTCCCACGTGGGAGCCTAGTGGAGGCTATAAATCTCCAAAGATATCTGCCGAGTTTTGGGCGTTATTTTCCTGTGAAAAAGACCTTATTGTGAAGCCCTGCTTTAAAAACTTATTCAGTTAGATCAGTGTCTTCAGTGAGAAGTGTATGGGACACAGGGAGGGAAAAATGGAGAAGCAGGTACTGTTAAAAGAACTAGCAGCAAAGCCTGAGTTTATATGTTCTCTGTTTTTGCCATGTTCTAGATTTTTACTTGTTCCTCCCCTGGTATAGCTACACACACACACACACACCCCACACACCCCACACACACACACCCACACACACACACCCCTTAGCTTTGACTTGCAACCATAGTCTTAAAGCATTATTTTGTTCATAAATAAGTTAAACATCTAAGAATTGCTATATGATACTTAAGGGATTTGCCTTAGAACTGTAAAGTTGATATTGCTTTTTGTTTATTAAATAAGTTATCAGACTATCTTTAATCATCTTTTTTTTACACTGGCTTTTAACTTATGTGGGTTCTGATAAGTTATAGTATTTTAACCTAGTAACTTATGAAATAGCAAGGAAATATAAATTAAGAGAAATTTAAAATGCTATAATTTATCATACTTTAAATATTAGTAGTTCCATAGTCATACCGTCCTAAGCACTGAGTAGACTATGCATAAAACAGATAAGATCTTTACTTTCAAACAGCATTCAGTTGCTAAACCCATTTCCTTTTCTTTAGGGTGTTTTCATTGTCTCCAACTGTTAGAGCTGAAAAGTGCCATACAGATCATCTAGTGTTTCTCTATTCAAATGAAGAACCTGAGCCTCTAAGATTCACAGGAGAGTAAGAGAACTTAGCAAACAACTCCAAGTAATGATAGCAAACTATAGAAAACCAAAAATCGTGAGAATTTACTGTATCATTAGCATGAGTTTAGAAAACGTGTAAATTATAAGGAAAGTTCAATTATGTTAATATGAATGAAAGATTTCACAGTATTCAAGTCAAAATCAGGGAATTTAGTGTCTTCAACACTACAGTGAAACCATTTTTGTATTGTGTGGTGACTATTATCCATAAATACTTTTTTGCTTAGATATCAAAAGTTTCAGAAGCAACCGTATTAGTGATGCTATTTATAAGTGTCTAGGTAGTATTGATAGAAATAATGTGCTTTCCTACTTTATTTAAAATCATAGAATTCACATCTTGGATTCAGACCCTTGTTTCAAGGGTGAGACATTGACTCCCAAAGAGGTTAATTGGCTTGCCCAAATAAGAGCCCAAATTAGCAACTTATATTTAACCAAGGGGTCAGGTTGTTATATTTTGATATTCAGATGCCAATTATTCTCAACTTTAAATGATAACTGTCATTGTCAGACCTGCTAAGCATTAGTCTTATTTTTTAAATTGGAGGATATCTGAGAAATTGATGAAATAAAAATGAAGTTACAGATATTAGAATCTCTTGGCATTACTTCCTTCATGCTGAAAATATTCAATATTCAGTTGCTGGTCACAAGTAACTTTCCCCCACACTCTAGGTATTGTCTTCTGAGAACTCTGAAGCAGTGTCAGACATTGAGGGAAGCTCTCATTGCTGCAGGAAAAGAGATTATATGGCATGGGCGAACAAAGGAAGAACCAGCACATTACTGTAGCATTTGTGAGGTAAATAATTGTTCTTATTCAGTTGTTTTCTAAACCTCTTACCTCTCCAGTTTTGGTTTCTCTTTAGTTATTTTTTAATGTACTTTTATGCAATGCATTTTACTGAAATTGACATTGTGTTCCATATTATTATTTAACTACTATATTAAACTTTATTCTGGTGAAATGCCATTTCACTAATTGTGAATTAACTGAATTAACTCAAAGTATTTACTAGAATCATTTATCTGGTAGATAACATTTGACCCTCCCTATCCACAGGTTCCTATCTATGGATTCAACCAACCACAGATCAAAAATATTTGGGGGTTGGGAAGATATTCCAAAAGTTCCAAAGAGCATGACTTAAATTTGCCATACACCAACAACTATTTTGTTTTAGGTATTATAGGTAATCTAGAGATGATTTAAATATAGAGGAGGATGTGCATAGGTTATATGCAGTTAGTATGCCATTTTTTGTAAGGGACTTGAGCATCCTTAGATTTTGATACCCATGGAAGGTCCTGGAACCAATCCTCATGGATACTGAGGGACAGCTGTGTTTAACAGATGATAAGTGTCAAGTTAAATCTTGAAATTTTAAACTGGGAACACTCCAGGTGTAGACAGTTGCCAGTAAACTGGATATAGTTCAGTACAGTTTCAGGCAGATCATTGTTCAGTTCTCCCTGGTATAATTCACAGTACGTTGGTCAATCTTCTCCTGTGGCCAAGGCTTGCAAGAGATGCAGAAACAAAGATGTGGTACCTACTCTGAAGGAGCTTACATCCTACTTAGGGAAGACAAATTATAAACCGTTCTACATATATGAGACTATGGTGAATGCAAAGTTGGTCTGACTGTTAGGAAAACACTAAGGGGAGAAAATGACCTGAGTTTTCCCTTCTAGTGTTCGCATGAGTTCACCAAAGTATTAACATTTGAGTCCATCCTCTAAGGATGAATATGATTTTAGGCAACTAAAAAATGATCAAGATTAATGTATGGCAAAACCCAATACAATATTGTAAAGTAATTAGCCTCCAATTAAAATAACTTTTAAAAAAAATCAAGTTTTCCTTTCCAATAAAAAAAATAAAAGTAGAATGGATGTTTTTATGAGCTGTAGGAACAGCATGGGAAATGGAATGGTTTCTTCAGAAAAGGGTAGATAGTTCAGTGTGACTAGAACACAGACTATGTAAATTCCATTTATGAGTTTGGTTGGTAGGAAGTTTGCAGAGCATTTTGAATGATTTTAAGGAGTTTGATACTTAACTCTGAGATCATTGAAGCCATCAAAAGTTTCTGAACAAGTACCCGAGTTGGATAAGTATTTCAGAGAGAAAAGTGATTGGAGAGGATGGAGATAAGCTATTGCAGTGGTGTTAAAGGTTGTCATCCTAAGGCCTAAACTGGAACCTAGCAGTGGGAATATTGAAGGAGAGGAATTAAAAAGATAATTTCAAGGTGAAATTCACAAGACAACTCATTAAATGGCAGAAGTGAGGGACAAGTTGAAGAATGTTCACAAATTTTCCAACTCAGATTCTGAGGTTTATGTTATTTGTTATTGCTCATTGATAGTAATGCAAAACATGGTTAACCCTGGGATTGTAATTAACATAACTTCAAAGAAGACATGAAGTCATGAGAATTTTCTTTCATTGAATATATTAGCCAGAGATATTAATGATCCGTTCCAAACCTTGAAATTGTGTAATTTTGACATTGATTTTTTTTTGAGATGATTGAATCCATCAAGTTTGTTTTGAGGTTTGGCTAAGCACTAAGCTCTGTGATAAGTTCTGGAGTTTCAGTGATGAGTAAAACATAGTCTTCATCTTTGAGGAACTCAGTCTATTGGGAAAGACAAGTATCCATACACAGTGCTATCATTGAGAAGTAGAAGGAAAGTAAGGATCACTTTCATCTGATTGTATACTGATGTTTTGAATTTAAAACAAACAGACTAATCAAACTTTTGAATTAGGCTTTTTGCCAGTGGTTTTAATGAGTGTGTCATTCCCCTGGGTCACTCCCCTAAAGATGCAGTCCCACCTATGTCTTTGGGTCTGGTACAAAATAAACCCAGCCTATTAAAGATTCTTAAACAGCTATGTTTGTCTTAGTACCCACTTTTAATCAGTAATCACTGTCCACAACTCCTTATAAAGTAGAACTCTATATAGTAAAGTAGTACAATAAGATAAATACTGCTGTATGTATTGAATGCTTTTTCTTTTGTATGAACTAGGTGGAGGTTTTTAATCTGCTTTTTGTCACTAATGAGAGCAATTCTCGAAAGACCTACATAGTGCATTGCCAAGATTGTGCAAGAAAAACAAGTGGAAACCTGGAAAATTTTGTGGTGCTAGAACAGTACAAAATGGAGGACCTGATGCAAGTCTATGACCAATTTACATTAGTAAGTGAAACCAACATGTGAGTACATAGTTAGCTGGATAGGGAAGCACCAGGATTTATTCTACCTGATGAGTAGGAGGTAATGAAATATTTAAATTTTCCTTTGACTTATACTTCATGAGGAAATACTCATATTCCCCCCTCCTCCACTTCCAGGTATTTATTTCTATGAAATTGACATATTTTATTTTTACTTTTCTTCCTGAGTGAGACCAGCCCTAAATAATGTCACACTAACTACATTTTAAAATATTTGTGTACTTTTAGAACACTGTCACATCCTTTGTGTCATTTGATCTCAGTTGATAAAATGTTTGTGTACATAGGTTATTAGTGTCCACAAAATGAGTCAGTATGTATGCTTTTAAATAACTTTTGCTTTTAGAGCTAATTTTATTTATTTCAAACCTTGTCCTCGCCAGAAATAGTAACTTTACAAGAATATTTGATGGAGCTTAACTTCCTTGGTACGTTATATAACCTTATGAAATTCAAGTACCTTTATAAATTGCACACAGTTTTAAATTTTAAACAGATGCTTAGGGGAAAGCATTTTACTCTAGCACATCAATAGTTTTATGAATAAGAAATAGACATAATTTATGAATTGTTGAATTCCTTCAATAGTTTTTCTCTTACATATGTGGTCAGAAACTGAATTTTTGAAGTTTAGCTTCTGGTATTTTCATTTGAATAGTCTTCAAGATTGCTTGAAGAAGAAGAAAATCACCTGTTAAAATTATTATCTAGTTGAATTAGGTTCTGAAGCAAGTCACCAAGGAAATTGTAATTGATTTGTTATATTATTTTTTACAAGCCTTCTTTTAAATTTTAAGCAATTTCAAAAAATGGTCAACCTAGTAACATTTTAAGAGTTTTTGACTAATTGGTGAAGTACCAAAATGTAGGGGACACTAAGTAGGGTAATGGTCTTAGGAAAATTGGCCAGGTTGGGGGCAGTAACGGAGGTTATACTGGACAGAGTGTGGCAGGCAGTTGAACTTTCTTGAGAATTGTTATTTCCCCTACCTTTATACACAGACCATGTTTGTAGCCTTGAGCTCGGAAACACTATTAACAATTTATATACCAAAGTAACATACTTTACTTGTCATTTTCAGGCTCCTCCATTACCATCCTCCTCATCTTGATATTGTTCCATGGACATTAAATGAGACCTTTTCTGCTATTCAGGAAGTAACCCAGTTCTGCACCACTGGTTTTTGTAGCTATCTCGTAAGGCTGCTGGCTGAAAACTGTGTCTATGCAACCTTCCAAGTGCGGAGTGTCAACCAACTGGACAGGGGAGAGCTTTGCTCCTACTCCAGGACTCTCACAAAGCTGATCAGCTGTTCTTCAGAAACAAAATAATAATTTCCATGTTTTGTATATATCTGACAAAACTGGCAACATCATACAGACTACTGACTTGAAGACAACCTCTTTTATATTTCTCTATTTCTGGGCTGACGAATTGGTTTTCATCTGTCTTTTCCCCTCTTCAGAATTTTCCTTGGAAAAAAATACTAGCCTAGCTGGTCATTTCTTTGTAAGGTAGTTAGAAATTTTAAGTCTTTATTTGGTCAACTTTTTTTTAATGTGAAAAGTTAGGTAAGGAACTTTTTTACTGCTTTTATGTTTTTCTGTCTTGTTTTGAAACCATGACGGTTATTACACTTCTGGTTCCTAAATAAAATGTTTAAAAAATTAACAGCCAAGTCACAAAGATATTGGATTGCACATAGACTAAGGAATAAACTTCAGATTTGTGATTTTTGTTTCTAATCCTGATGTAAATTTACACTATTTATAAATACGTATTTATTGCTTGAAAATATTTGTGAATGGAATGCTGTTATTTTTTCCAGATTTACCTGCCATTGAAATTTTAAGGAGTTCTGTAATTTCAAACACTACTCCTATTACATTTTCTATGTGTAAATAAAACTGCTTAGCATTGTACAGAAACTTTTATTAAAATTGTTTAATGTTTAAAGAGTTTTCTATTGTTTGAGTTTCAAAAAGACTTTATGTACAGTGCCCAGTTTTTGTTCATTTTTCAAATCTGATTATATATATTTTATATATACTTGTGTATGTATATATAATATATATAGAAATCTGGATATATATGTATAAAGATTTAGAACTTAAATTTTTCTCGTTTTAAGTTTCCCATCTATGGTAGATTTTTGAGGTGTCTACTGTAAAGTATTGCTTACAAAAGTATGATTATTTTTAAAGAAATATATATGGTATGTATCTTCAAGACCTAAAATGTCAGACTGGTTTATTGTTAAGTTGCAATTCTGCAATGACAGACCAATAAACAGATGCTGCCAAAATGTAGTATAATAGTAGAAAACAAATAGTGATTGAACTTAAAGTTTTAAAGGGCATGTTATATGGGCTTGACAAATCCTGTACATATTTATTAGTATTTTCTAATGGAAAAGAGATTCAGGTGAGGGGCTCTATTTTAGAATGCAAATAAATTAAGAGACTTATTTTTTAATGTTAGGCAGTTTTGACATTTCATGCTTTCCTGCTTGCATGACATGATATGGGCAGGGGAGGGAGTCTTTCAGTTCTGTAGCAGTAGTAAAATAGAGTAAGCTGTATTAGCCTTACAGAATCACTTCTAATTAACAATACTATTTCATATTATAGTGTACCTTGCATTTGACACATATTCTCATTTTATCATGCTGCTCTTTCTAAGGTTTTTCCAGGAATATTTAGTGAAGAAGCATAGAGAATGCTCTAAGTGAAATTATATGTAACTAAAGAGAATTTATAATCCTATCTGGTGAAATGCTATGCTGATTGGATTAACAAGTTCTCTTTTTCAGATAGTTTTGGAGTATGTTGTCCTCCTAGAAACAGTTTGAAGGCTTGAAAGCATGGAGACATTTTATCCAATTAGTTAATAATTTGGTAAATATTGAACTTGAAAATCTACTAGCAGCAGTCATCTCTTAACAATTTCAGAAGGAAATAATTGCAAATGTGTTTTAGTGAAGAAGCAAGAGTGCTTGTCTAAGTGCTGCTTAAGATGTTTAACCACTGATATTTTTAAAAGAACTCAAGACAAACATTTTTGCAAATAAAAATTACAAATCAAATTAACACAACATTGTAAATCAGCTATACTTTAAAGAAAAACATTGGCAAGGTAGCTATCCAGAAGCAAAGATTATCAGAATGCTAAAGCTATGCTTAAATGTTCCTTAACCATTTCTACTTTATCTTACTAACATGTCTTATTTTCTATCATTTTATTAAGATATAGTTTATTGCCAAGATTAACATAAGTTGTCTGACGTTTAAAAGTAAGTTAGTGGTGTTAACTAAGTACATATTTGAAAGTTAAATAACAAGAGTAATACTTGCTCACTTAATCTTTGAATGGGTAAGAGAATAGAAGACAAATGAAATATATCAACATTACTCTGAAGTATAAGTAGATGAACAAACTCTTATGTAAACTGCTTTCTTTTCATCAATTTAACAGCTTTTATAATGTACATTTTTTAGGTTTCAGAAAATATAGAATGGGGTTTTTTTTATTCTTTTTACTGCTTGTATAGATAAATCCCCCTAACCACATTCTATCTGGGTGCCTTAATAACATCCTAACACACACACACATTGTTTAGAGAAAGAAGCTAATACAGTGTATTAAAAAAAAATGTTGACCCAGAAAGTGGGAATTAAACCATATTTTTTTCCCATTGTCACCAGCTAAACAGTAATCTTACACTGTCATTATAGGAGTTCTACTTGTTTAACTCATTTAAGTTAAATCAATTAAAACATTCTGGCTTCTGCATTTAGAACTGAAATCCAAGTCACTTTTCCAAAGTAGTAATTTGACAGTTGGAACTTTGAAATTACCAGTCAACTGAAGTAAAAGATCACGTAATATTATGAAATTACCTTAAATGAAGTGCCCACTTCTCAGAACGTCTTTAAATTATCATGTGTATTTTCATTTAGTCAATATATTTAGCATCTCCTAAAAAGTGAATCTGCATAAGATGTGATCTACTCTTCATACACACATCTCATGGGAGATTCACATTAATATGCCAAACAAAACCAAGAAGAGATAACAAGAAGGGTGAGTAGTATTACGGCTTGCATTTCAGCAGGATTTATATCACACCTAGAGCAAGAGAATTTGGGAACTAAGGGGTTAGAATAATGTTAAAGGCAACTGGAGGGATAGGAAGCCTGCTATTCCATGATAGATGTTTACACTTTACCCTGTAGTTACTGTGGACCCATCCACAGAATTAAGCAAAAACAGCATTGAATTTGCAGTAGTCTTCTTGCCTGCTTTAGCACACTCTTTGTCTTCCACATGTCTGCCCAAGGGATATTTCTAAAACATGGAAATTCAAGGAAGAACTGATTTGGACTTTTAACTTTGGATGTTGTGAGTTTGCAAACGAGCACAGATTTGAAAGACAAAGTTCACAGGACCAATTAGATGTCTACCTGTGTGTGTGTGGGGGGGGGGGGGGGTGCTTCTAACTAGAATAGGAAGTAAGAACAGAATTGCTTGTAGTGCATCCAAGTAGTTGGAATGAGGAGAAGCTTGAACCAGAGCCATGTATCTATATGTCCATAATCAAGGTGGTGCCAGAGGAAATCATATAAGAACTGTATGGTGAGGAGAGAGAGATCAAATACCCACTTAAGAACGCCAGCATATAAGAGGAGAGGAGATTGCAGTGGAGAAGAAAGCCAAGGTGATACTAGACAAACTAAGTTTTCAAAAGTGACCATACCCTGTTGCAAAGATGAGGATTAAGTGGATTTCTTTGGGTTTAGCACAAGATGGTGACATTTGCCTGGGGAGCAACAACTGGATCACAGTGGATGCGAAAAGGTATTGAATTTGAGGGATGATGGAGTCACTGGTCTTTCCAAAAGCACTGGGATTCAATTACATTGGTCATTGTGAAATAACTCAGTCATCAATTTTAAACACTGTGTCATGGTCTTGAGTGCTTTACACAGTAACCAATAGTTTCCTATATATACCATGAAGTGGCATCTCTGGCGGCTCAGTCAAGAATCCGCCTGCAATACAGGAGACCTGGGTTCGATCAGGAAGATCCCCTCGAGTAGGAAATGACAACCCATTCCAATATTCTTCCCTAGGAAATCCCATGGACAGAGGAGCCTGGTGGGCTCCAGTCCATGGGGTCACAATGAATTAGACACGACTTAGCAAGTAAAGCACCAACCACCACCACACCGTGAAGCAACCCATGTATTGATAGTATTTTGGTATTGAAAGGAAGACATACTTTTTAGTTGAGCAGGAAAATGAGGATAGTATTTTTTCATATGGCCTAAAGATACCTGGAGATGGTATCATCTCTAGAGATGATATCATCACCAAATCAATGGACATGAATTTGAGTAAACTTGGGGAGATAGTGGAGGACAGAGGAACCTGGCATGCTGCAGTCCTTGGGGTTGCAGAGTTGGGTACAACTTAGTGACTGAACAACAACAGCAAAGATACTATGTGCAAAGCATAGTATTTTTATTTTTAGTCCTTACAGTGACCCTCTGAGGTATGTTTTAGCCCAGGGATCCCCAACCCCGAAGTCGCAGACTGCTGCCGGTCTGTAGCCTGTTATGAACTGGGTGGTACAGGTAGGATGTGAGCAAAGCTCCATCTGCTCTCCATAGCTCCCCATCACTCATTACCACCTGAACCACCCTCTCTCCCACGTCCATGAAAAAATTTTCTTCCTTGAAACCCTGGTGCCAAAAAGGTTAGGCACTGCTGTTTTAGCCACATCTTACAGCTAAGTAAATGAGGCAAAGAGAGATCATGTAACTTGCCCAAGGTTTGTGGTTATTAAGTATTGAAGTTAAGATTGCAACTATGTTGATCTGACTCCAGAGCAAATGCTATTCTACCTCTCACTGCAAAGAAAGAGGAATTCTGAGTGTTTACTCCATAGCCATGCTTGAAAGAAACTTCATTTCAAATATTTCTTTAACAGGAAAAATGTCTTAAAATGTATAACCTGTAAGTAGGCTGACATTTTTATAGTCCAAACCAGAACCCCTTTGAGATCGAAAGGGGACAGTGCTATTAGCAATTGGATACGGCATCAATCCCCAAATGAGGCCATTGTGAGCAAGCTGGGATATATGCCATAGTAGTTAAGTTGGTCTTAAAAAGAAGCATGTTGGAAGTAGTACTGATCTTCTAACATCATACTCCTAGATTGTTGCACTCTGTAGAATGGGAAGGAAGCATGGGTTTAGGTTGCACTAGGGTCCACAATCATGGTTGGAAAAGATGGCGAATTATCAGGATGGAAATGCAAACAATGAATTAAAGTGGAAATGAGAGAGGAAAGGGAAATTCCTGTTAAGACTTAGTGATGTCTACCAAGTTGTACCCATCCTAAAACCAAATAATGGCCTCAAGAAACTAACATCAAGAAAGGAAATAAACCAAATAAACTTCAAGAAATAAAGTAATCTTCTCAATGTAAAGAGGTATGTGCATTTTTTAAACTCGATCTGACTACTGCTTACCAATCTAGTTTAAGGTGGGAATCTGATTTAAAATATTCAAAATATGAAAACTTAAAGGATACCAACTTGAAAAAGATGTGGAGTCACAGTTCTTTCAGTGTTTAAAAACTTTCCAGTGCCATGTGTTGTTCAATTGCTAAGTCACGTTCAACTCTGTGACCCCATGGACTGAAGCATGCCATGCTTTCTTGTCCTTCACCATCTTCTGGAGTTTGCTCAAACTCATGTCCATTGAATCAATGATGCCATCCAACCATCTCATCCTCCATCACCCCCCTCCTCCTGCCCTCAGTCTTTCCCAGCATCAGGGTCTTTTCCAATGAGTAGCCTCTTTTGAGTCAGGTGGCCAAAGTATTGGAGCTTCACCTTCAGCATCAGCCCTTCCACTGAACATTCAGGGTTGATCTTTAGAATTGACTGATTTGATCTTGTTGTCCAAGGGACTCTCAAGAGTCTTCTCCAGCCCCACAGTTTGAAAGCATCAACTCTTCGGTGCTCAGCCTTCTTTATGGTCCAACACTCACATCCATACACAACTACTGGAAAAACCATAGCTTTGACTATACGGACCTTTGTTGGCAAAGTGATATCTCTGCATTTTAATATGCTGTCTAGGTTTATCATAGCTTTTCTTCCAAGGGGCAAGCGTCTTTTAATGTCATGGCTGCAGTCACCATCCGCAGTGATTTTGGAGCCCAAGAAAATAAAATGCCACTGGTTCCACTTTTTCCTCATCTATTTGCCATAAAGTTATGGAACTGGATGCCATGATCTTAGTGCCAAGTGATTAAACATGTCTTTTTTATTACTATTTTTAATAATTTTTTAAAATTGGAATATGTCTTAATATGAACAACAAAGAGTTTCCTCATGAACATAAGCACACTTTTAAAGTATTTATAATCAGGTGTAAGTAAGTGTATGATGGTTTCAAATAGA